TTTAAAAGTTTGAGGTTCATTTTCAAGCAAGAATGTCACAAAATCTGGTCTAAAGGAAGTAGATGTTCTTTGACGTTTGCAACGCCTTGGATCTTCCACACTTGGAGTATTTTCCTTTGGTTCTTCCCGAGGTCGTTTAGGCCTTTCACTTAACGAATCGCATTCAGTTTTATACGGATAAATGCTTTCAAAGAATTTAGCATTATCTGATTCCATTACCGTATTAACATGAATCTCGGGATTATCAAATTTATGGACCAAAAACCGACATGCTTTACTGTTTGTAGCATATCCAATGAAAACGCAATCTACTATTTTTGGTCCGATTTTAACCCTTTTAGGTAAAGGAACTTGTACCTTTACTAGACACCCCCACACTTTGAAATATTTCAAGTTAGGTTTTCTTCCTTTCCATTTTTCATATGGAATAGATTGCCTTTTACTGTGGGGTACTCTGTTGAGTATTCGGTTAGCTGTAAGGATAGCTTCCCCCCACAAACTTTGCGGTAATCCGGAACTTATTAATAAAGAATTCATCATTTCCTTTTAATGTCCGATTTTTTCTTTCCGCAATTCCGTTGGATTGAGGTGTGTAAGGTGCAGTAGTTTGATGAATAATTCCATATTCCGAACATATTTTTGCAAATGGAGATTCATATTCTCCACCTCTATCACTTCTAATCATTTTGATCTTTTTATTCAATTGATTCTCCACTTCATTCTTGTATTGCTTAAATGCTTCAATTGCTTCATCCTTATATTAAGCAAATAAACATAACAATATCGAGTGCAATCATCAATAAAAGTAATAAAATACTTTTTCCCACCTCGAGATGGTGTCGACTTCATATTGCAAATGTCAGTATGAATTAAGTCTAAAGGATTTGAATTCCTTTCAACACACTTATAAGGATGTTTTACAAACTTAGATTCAACACATATTTGACATTTCGATTCATTACGCTCGAATTTAGGCAATACTTCTAAATTAATTAACTTCCGCAAGGTTTTATAATTGACGTGTCCTAAACGAATATGCCATAAATCATTTGACTCCAACAAATAAGAAGAAGCTGGAATTTTATTCATATTGTCAACAACCATTACATTTAGTTTGAAAAGGACTTCCGTGAGGTAGCCTTTCCCAACATACATTTCATTCTTGCTTACAACAACTTTATCAGAAACAAATACACATTTGAATCCATTCATCACAAGTAAAGAAGTAGAAACTAAATTCTTCCTAATAGTAGGAACATGAAGAACGTTGTTGAGCGTTAACACCTTGCCGGAAGTCATCTTTAGGAATATCTTCCCATAACCTTCAATCTTGGCTGTTGAATTATTTTCCATGGAAATCTCTTCTTCGGGACCAGCAGCAGAGTAAGTCGCAAATGCTTTTTTGACAGCACAAATATGTCGAGTGGCTCCGGAGTCAATCCACCACTCCTTCGGATTTCCAACTAAGTTGCATTCCGAAAGCATTGCACAAAGATCATCAATGTCATCATTCTTCTCCACTATGTTGGCGTGTCCCTTCTTCTTATCCTTTTTCGGGAGACGACAATCAGGGGCTTTGTGACCAACTCTTCCACAATTGTGGCAGTTGCCCTTGAATTTCTTTTTGTTTTGCTCCTTAGTCTATCCAGAAGATCTCTTCCTCTTCTTACTTTTTGGAGCAGTCTCCTCAACGATATTAGCTCCCATGATCGTTGAATTTTCACGAGACTTCTTCTCGGCTGTTTTGTTGTCTTCCTCAATCTTGAGACGAATCACAAAATCTTCCAACTTCATTTCTTTGCGCTTGTGCTTGAGATAGTTCTTGAAATCTCTCCACGAAGGAGGCAACTTTTCAATCATTGCAGCCACTTGAAATGCTTCATTCACGACCATACCTTCAGCAATAAGGTCGTGAAAAATAAGTTGAAGTTCCTGAACTTGGGTTCCCACATTTTTGCTGTCTATCATTTTATAGTCTAGAAACTTGGCAACCACGAACTTTTTCAAGCATGCATCTTCTATCTTGTACTTCTTCTCAAGTGCGTCCCATAATTCTTTCAAAGTATTCATCGCACTGTACACATTGTACAAGTCATCCTCTAAAGCACTTAAAATATAACCTTTGCAAAGAAAATCTACCTGCTTCCACGCCTCAACAATCATGAACTTTTCAATGTACGACATTTCCGCAGCAGGCATTGGAGGCTCTTCGCTAGTGAATTTCTGCATACCAAGTGTGGTAAGCCAGAAGAACACCTTTTGCTGCCATCCTTTGAAGTTGGCTCCAGAAAATTTCCCCGGCTTTTCTGCCGGTGGAACAGCAGTCCGGCTTGACGAGGCTATCGTCGTTGCCGCAGCAGTCGCAAAAGAATATCCGTTATCAACTGTCATTTCTCACTATCAAAAACAGAAGAGTTCAATCAATGACAAAACCAGAACAGTAAACAATACTGTAATTACGATAAACAGTATGTATAATAAATAAAAACCAAAATTTTTATATATTGTTGCACAGAAAATGATAAAGTTTTTGTGTTCTTCAAATCGTTTTTTCTGAATTTCAAAACTCTGATGAAGTTTTTATGTCTTATCAGAATAATAAAATTCAGTCGGAGTAGAAAACACAAAAGTTTTAATCTTCACAAACAGAATACAGAATATAATAAAAATTTAATTTCCTTAAGATTGTTAGTAATCTGTATTGCTGTAAAATAAATAAAATAGTAAACTTTCTGAAAATACAGAAACAGAAAGTTAGTAGAACTTAGAACGTCAACATAAATTCTGAAAACAGTATAGGAATAAATCGAGCCCACTGAATACACAGTGTGTCCTTAAGGAAATTATTCCCCTCAAGTACACGAGGTTTTGGAATATATCCTCCCAGAATAGAACGATTTAACTCACTAGTGTATCGATACCTAAAACTCTGGTGATCGGCGAACCACTCGATGGTCGTAAAACACACTGGAATATTTTTGTGCAGAAGAAAAAGAAGATTAGAAAATTTAGTAAGTAAAAATTCTGGGATTCAAGCATATTTATAGCCAATTTCGTACTGTTTCTGAAAAGGTTTTGCAACCTTTCAAAACAGCCATAGCTGTTGGAACAGGTGTGAATCCTTTCAGAACAGCCATAGCTGTTTGAACATGTGTGAATATTGCGGGAAAATTAAAAATGGATTTAAAATAATCAGGGAAAGAAAAACGAACCGGACCGGACCGGGTCGCAGGTCATGGGTTATTCCGGATTGAATTTTCGTTAATTAATTAATTAATTTGAAAGGAATTTTGTCCAAAAAGATTAATCAATCAATCTTTGACCAAATCCGAAGCTGAGCGAGCGACGATATTTCTGTATTCATCATTGCATTAAAGAAAAAAAGAGGTATGAAATATCTGTATTCGGATGAACTGTTCCTTAGCTGAAATGTCAGCTTGCTTAATTTAGACTTGGGGTGTGTTTGGTATGAAGGAAAATATTTTTCGGAAAATATTTTTCAATTATTTCATGTTGGGTTGGCTTAAATGTTTTGAAAAATATTTTCCTCATCAATTCATTTTCCTCCAATTGGAGGAAAATATTTTTCCTATCAAGAGAAGTGAAAACATTTTCCAAAACTCCTTCTCAACCTTCCCCACCCTATTCTATACCCTCACCAACCCACCCCACACCCACCCACCTAACCCGACCCCATGCCCTCTCTCCAAAAAGGTTTTTTTTCTGTCACCACCCACCCACCCCGACCCCGCAATTTTTTTCGTAGTTTTAAATTTCTGTTTTCCGTTTTTTGAACCCCCCCCCCCCCGACCACACACACACCGCACAAATTTTTTTTTTTACTTTTTTTTGTANCTAGCCCCTCCCCCCCTCCTAAAAAAATATTTTTTTTTATATTTAGAGTTTTTACTTTTTTTATCTTTCGGTTTACAGGTTCAAAATTTTACAAGTTCCAAAGTTAAGAGTTCGGAGGCTTAGTGTTTCGAAGTTTACGGATTTAGAAATTATAATGTTTACGGGTTCGAAATTTCGCGGTTTCGAAAGTTTTGCGATTCAGAAGTTTATGAAATTTGTGGGATCGGAAGGTGGTTGCTTCGAAAGTTTATGGTTTCATGTTTATTGTATCAAAATTATTTTTGAATACTCTTGAGAAAATATTTTCCTTAATTTGCGTACCAAACGTCGAAAAATAAATAAGATTACTACTTGTTTTCCAAGAAAATATTTTTTTGAAAAACATTTTACGGAAAACATTTTCCGTTATACCAAACACACCCTTGAAGCCCGACCTCTGTGATGCTTTCTCTACTCGGTTAGGACGAGCTGAGCCATTTATCTCAGTTGGGCCTGGTCCAATTTATAACAAAGAGGGGACTTGTAGCAGCTCAATTCACAATTTTCTAAGCACAGATACATTCCCCAATCTTCAGTATCAAGTACTCACTGGTTAGACGAAGGGCTGTATATTTATGATTTTGTACGACGACGAAACATGAAGCTGTACAATAGGGGAACTGTGGGAGCGGGACGCTATGGGGAGGCCTAACGAGTAACGATAGTTCACAGTCCGACTGCTAATTCGAGCAACCTTTCGAACAGACGAGATTCCGCATATACTCATTTCGAGATGATGACATGTTAGCCTTATAACTGCTAATTGAGGCCTAAGGTATAGCAGTCAAATTCAATTTTTCCGATAATTTGGAGTATTCACATCTTATCAGATAAAATGAAACCATACAACCTAATTCCATAAGCAACTTGACAATGACAAGTAGTTCATTTTAATTTTTAAGCTAATACTAGCACTCAAAAGATTTAAGTAGACCTGCAGTGGTAACATCTCCATTTAACATCATCTTTTGCGAGTATCTTTTCCGAGGAGCCACCTGTTGTCGCTTTATCAGTTTACCAGCTTATAAAGTAAAGTGTTATGAAAGCAGTTGCAGCAGTTCGGTAGCGCAACAAAAAATCATTTGGTTCAAGTCAAAGTCCAAAGGAAGAAATAAAAAAAATCCAGTATGTGGCTATCGATTATTGAACTCGGCATTTGGAGAAAATGGGTGTATAATTCCAATAGAGTATGTCAAGTCTGTGATTAAATTCTAAAAGGAAAACCTTCACCGACACAGCAGCCATAAGAACAACTGATCCACAAAAAGCAAACAAAACCAAAAAACTTTTGAATCCTGAGTTTGTAGAGCAACTAAATCTCTCATCATCTCAACCAGATTTATTCCGGCAGAAAAATTGCAAGCCACTATCAGTGATGATCATCGTCATCACCATGTCCATCTGGAGGTCCTCCAGGGCCAACCACCTCCAACTGCATATAATTAAATCATTCCCAGTATGAGCTTCATAATGCGTACAAGCTTAAGAAATTAAAGTCAGCATGGATCAGCTCATTATTTGGACTGGCATTATTGATGCTGAGACATGGCATACCATTACCATACTTGGACGATTGTTGGCTAGAAGTAGAACTTTACAGCTCATATTCCCTCCCTCCCTCCCACCTACCCCTCTCAATATTTGAAAAAAAAAAAAAGACGCAAAATATCACCCCTATTGCTGGAAGGAATCTGAAATTTCAGCTGATTAACGAAAGCAGCAGCCGTTCACACACAGACGGATATGAATTCATGTACCTAAAAATTCCTTAACAGCCTAGAACTTAATAATATGGCCCAAGATAGAAATTTTGTACTTACCACAAAATATTGTGTGCATACTGGGCATTCATGTGGCTTGCCCTTCTCGAGCCAGAACCAAACAACATCATGCTCATCTTCTGTTAAATTAGAAAAAGACTCAGAAGACAGAGTGAACTGGCTAAAGGGAAAATCTGTAGTGGAGACTTTTTTTCTCTGATGTTACGGAGACTTACCGCCTTCACTTCCTGGACATCCTACAATTCTTCTGTCATAGTAGGATTTAACAACAGCTGGTGCTTCCTGCGTTTAAATATATTCAATTGTTTGATCACACTCCTACATATCTAATGGAAAGAAAACTTACAATAGTAGTTTATCAATCTAAACAATCTATTTACGCATAATCCTTTTGTTTTTGTTGAGAAATAATTCATTATCCCGAACCTATACATAAGAAGGAATAGCAGTGAACGTCCGAATTAGATTTGTTTGAGGACTCATAAGCACACAATGTTTTACTTTCGCAGACCTCATTGTTGACAATAACAAGATAATTGCACTTGTTTATAATCGAGAAATTCCAGAGACGGTTTGAAACTCGGTGGATAACGGGTCGCCTCTCTACCCTTTCTCCACTTAAACCCCTCTGCAGCAAAGTTCGAACCTCACGGCGTGTACCAAACCCACACACATTTGCCGCGCTCTTGCCACTAGACCAAAGCCCAAGGGCGACGTGATAATTACATTTGTGTTTTTTAAAATGTTACACACAAAAAATATAACAAAGATTTTAGCCAACTCACACAACAAATTGAACATTGGAACGCTGAAAGACATGTGAGAGAAATCGATTGAGGTATGAGTTTGACATGAGTATTTCAAAGTTTGATAAGTTCCTAGTGAATTCTGAAAGATCTAGTCGAAGTATCCATCCTCAAGCAGAAAGGAAGACTTTGTAACAGTCTGAGAACTTGAACTGATCTGTTTAAGCTTCTCATAGCAAAAGAAAATGCTAAGCTGCACTTGCATGCATGTGCACTTATTCACACATGTACATGTCTTTCTTGTAGGTGAATGGTTATGCCTTATGAATAAAAATGATGATGAAAGGTTAAATACTTAGAAACCGCATTGCTTTCAAGATACAACCCATCTAAGCTGACAATATTTTATAGCCATGTACAAGTGTTAATGGAAGATGCAATCCAAAATGATCACTTTTGTTTCCATGTACAAGCTAACATATCTTGTGAAAGAGCAAAGCAAAAAGAACATAAGCACGTGAACTAGGGTTAATATTTGAGTGATAATAACACTAGCCATTAGCTTGCATGCCAACGAACAGCTGGCACATCATTAGATTACTGAGCATGATCCATAGAAGGAGATAGTATTGACTATTCAATATTCCACAGCAAACACAAAGACAAAGAAGTAAGCAGCACTGCACTTCAATTAAACAGATTTATTCTTATCCAAATTTGATTTTTTTCACTTGAAGCAAGAATAGAGAGGAGAAGAAGTGGAAGTGTGGAACGCGTTTTGATTCCCTATTCGGTTAGAAAGTGAAAGCACAGACAGCTCACAGTCGTCACTCATCTTTTTCAACCTTTCAAAATTGCACATAAGACGGGAGGTGAAGCTCATCTACTTCTACTTCACTAGTGCCAGAAAACATGGGGCAAGAACGAACTAGCTCTGATGCCCCTCCCCTCCTTATGTGAAACACAGCATCATGTTTAACTTTTACTATCCAAGTTCAAAACAGTAATAGAAGTCTTGCTAAATATTATGGATAAAATGATTACCACTGCACTTGAAAGAGGGAGAGCAGCACCTACCTACAATTTATTACTCCTCCGTTTCAATTTGTGACATAATTTGGCTAGCTATGGAGTTTAAGAAAGGGAAAAAGCTCTTGAAACTTGTGGTCTTAAACATGCCATGAGCTTTTTGTTGCTATAAAAGCATGCCACTAAGGGTAAAACAGGGAGTTTAATGTTAAATTGTTTTCAAAAATAGAAATCATTCTTTTTTGAATGGAATAAAAGAGAAATGGTGACACATATAAGGGAACAGGAGGGAGTACTTTACTTAAGAAAGTCGCAGTGGCTATACAAAATATATGAACATTTCAGAACTAGATAAATGTGAAGGAACAGAAATTGGAATCTTTACAAGGCGAACATGGGCATCTTCTTTCAGACACTTGTAATGTATATACACTACAAAATCAATACTGAATGCTGGACGAAACTTCAGTTTTGTCATACGCAATATGACCTAATAGAAACCGTACTCATACATATCAGTAGATAGAGAAACTCAGTCAAATACCTAAACAAACGGCTGTTCCAACAATACCTATTCATGAGTGATGCACACTATCCATGATAGAAAGAGCTAAATATCATCACAAATGCATGCTACTGGCTTTATCTAATACAATGATACCCATGGGATAAGATAAAAACAACTTCATTAACTGACAACAAAGGTAACAAAAACAAGAAGCAATAACCACGTTTTGCCAATTTAAACACAAAAAGAATATGCACACTGACCTTTGTGCCAAAAGGACCTTCAGGAAAGTTGATGTCAAGAAGTTCCTTTCCCTAAGCACGAAACAAACACACATATCAAGTATAAGTTACAGTCACAACTAACAAGTATGCTTGAATCAATATATTTCAATTAGACTATTAGTAGAAGCAAACATATAACATCAAAATCCTAAACGATTAAAAATCACTCACTTGAAGCTCAGCTTCAAGCTCTTCGCGCTCGTGACCGGTCGCAATTGGCATTACATCCTCCACACTCTTCTTCACAACATTTTCTGCTCCACAAAACAACGAATTCACAACAAAAACAAATCAAATATACAATACATATATATACATGCTTATATATGAATAAACGCATATATGTGTGTGTAAATGCTTAAGATCTGATGAAATTAGCGTTACCTGAAGCAGTACTGAAGTGGCGAGAGGAGAAAGGAACTGCGGGTTGGAAAGACGCCGGAGACGGCGATAAGGAGGCGGCGGCGGCGGCGGAAAACCGATTGGATTTAGGGGCAGATCGGAGTTGGCTTAAAATCCGAAACTGGGTACTAAGTCTCCTCCACATGGTTTTCTTCAAGAGTTAGGGTTTCGATTCGATCTCAGGTCAGGTATGGCTCCTTTTGGATGAGATCAAGAGTTCTTTTATCAGTCTCTTTCTCGTTGTTGTACTTTTTTAGAAGCTTTTTGGGCGTAGAAAATGAAATGAAATGGAATGAGAGAGCGTAAGGGTGGCACAGGCCCGAGGCCCAAGGGTTGACTCGCTCGTGAGACAATTTCTCCCACCGTGTGTGGAATGTGGATAGCTGTTTCGTCAAATTTCTAATTTTAACTAACCCTTACACAATTTACATTTCTATGTATAGTAAGTATTTTTTATTTTATTTTTTTGTGACCAATTTGCCATTCAATTTAATACTATTTCTATAATTTTTGGCATTAAAAAGTAAATCTACCTTTCAATAAAATATGATGTAATTAAAATAACATAAGATTAATCAATTCATACTTGGCCGGCTACAACACTCATAGCCCGTTTGGCCAAGCTGCAAAAATCAGCTTATTTTGAGAAGTGTTTTTTTTCAAAAGTGCTTTTCTCAAAAGTACTTTTGGTGAGAAGCAGTTTGTGTTTGGCTAATTAGTTTGAAAAGCACTTCTGAGCAGCAATTAGTGTTTGGCCAAGCTTTAAAAAAATGCTTCTAAGTGTATTTTTTTCAAAAGTGCTTCTCAAAAAAGTGCTTTTGGAGAGAAGCTACTTTTTTCTGCTTCTCCAAAACTGATTCTGCTTCTCTTCAAAAGCACTTTTTTTCCTTCCAAAAGCTTGGCCAAACACCTCAATTTTTGGCCAAAAGTGCTTTTGACCAAAATAAAACACTTTTGGCCAAAATGAAGCTTGGCCAAACAGGCTATCAGTTACTACATATTATTTAAGGCGTTGGAATTTCTTTCATATTCCCAATGGTTATTGCAACCTTTAGACTACCAATTTAATGTTTTGAAGTTCTTTTGGCTTTCTACAATAATTATAAAATTGAATTAAAGATTATTGGAAAGATGAAGTAACTATGCATATGCAATGTATATCAACCGTTCTCATCCCTTATTTATTTGTTAAATCATATTCACATATAAAAAGTGAGAAACTAAGTTAATCGAGCAATTGTTCCTTCTGTCAAGTAGTTATCAATTTTTAAAAAATTGTTCTGCAAATTTAGCATATTTACTCATCATCTATAACACATAAAACCAAAATTAGGTAATTTGGATTTTTGTAGTTGCTTTCTACGAGTGTTATGCTAATTCTATAGATATTTAACGGTATTTTTCCTTATTGCCTTCAGTGTAAAAGTTTTTGGATAATTTAATGTATAAAAGAAAGTTTTGAGAAACCAACGAAAGATGCTCCATCAAAAAATTTAAATTGTTTGTGGTGCATTCTATTGCTTTTCTTCTATTTTTTCCGTAATATTATTCAAATTCTATTTCTTTCTCTTTCCTTTTTTTGTCTTTTTATTTTTCGTTATATGTTATGAAACAATAAAAGAAGAAGAATAGTATTGCAGAGAAAAGTAGGGAGAGAGAATTCTTATTGATTTGGGATGAATTACAATGGAATAGAACCCTCTATTTATAGGGAGAGGGTGACTTAGCCACCAAGCAATGAAACCTAGAATCTCTCTAAATATAGACATTCACCATAAATACAATTCTATTTATAACACTCCCCCTTGAATGTCTATTCAACAGATAATATGCCTCGTTAAAACCTTAACTAAAATAAAACCCAGTGGGAAAAAAAATCTAGAGAAGGAAAAGAGTACACATATCTAAAAATACGCCTTTTGGTTGCCTCATTAAAAACCTTGCAAGGAAAACCCAGTGGGACAAAACCTTGTAAGGGAAAAAAAGTACAACGCGTATTAACTCCCCTGATGAGAGCATCAATTCACATCTTTAAGCTTTCGCATTCCAATCTTGTACACTAGCTTCTTGAAGGTTGACATCGATAGAGATTTGGTGTATAAATCAGCCATATTAACTTGAATGGATATATTGCACCTTGAAATCATCATTCTTGATAGAGATGAATTGTTCATATGATCTTGTTGGAATCGTCAGTTCAATTTCTTCACATAGAGGTGAAAATTCCTGCTATCATATTATCATGCATATAGTCATAGCAAGATACATTTGTACACAAATTGCACTGAGGATGTAGTACTTCATGACCATGAATTCTATATGCTTTAAGCAATTTAAATCCTTCAGGGATTGTTAAGTTATATAAGCCATATAATAGACTTTAGATGCATATCAAGTTTTCATGTCATGCTAGACAAATAAGATATAGAAAACTGATTGCACATACTATTGACTTTATACTTTCAAGTGTTTGAACTACATGTCTTTCATATAAAACCAATTCTACTTTAATTGTTTCTCTAGACTTAAGATCCTCATATATATTTAATGCTATAATCAATGTCGTCGACAAACATTTTATATCAGTTTCAATATTTTTTCATAAAGACATAACATAGAGATCTCTTCATTCATATTTTCAGGTACCTGAATCTCTCTTGAGATTTTATGAAGTGTTATGTCATGTGATCTTTTAGATCACTTGCCTCCTTTATTATGATCATTTTGATCATTTGCTCATCTTCTTTATTAAGAAGTTTATTTGAAACTGATTTGTCTATACGCTTTAAGCGTACCATAGACTTTGTCCTTCTAGGACTTAATAGGAGCATTTGCAACGAGAATATAGTTACTTTCTTTGGGTCAGCAAATGCGTCTAGCATGCTTTGCAATATATTGCAAATGAATTATCTTTTTATGAACTTCAAGTTCATATTATTTTATTCGAGGATCTAGATGTACACATGATAATTCATTCCACATAACTTTTTCTCAACTGTTTATCATGTCTCCCCCTCATGTTAGAAAAACTAACTTGTTACCTCAACTTTGAGAACTCATCTTTGTGCGTTATGGTATTAATCAAAATATACACCGCACATCTATAATAATAAGATGGAATTATTCGGTTCCTGACCCTGAACCACTTGTGAGGGGAGAAAATAATATACTTTTGTATATAACGTATATCAAACTGATATAGATAACTTTGTTCTCATAAGCAATAGTTTAGCTATTAAGTGGAGGCACTCAATTAATCATTTTTGCTAAATCAACTGTGATGTAAACCAACTTATCAAGATAAACTATCTTGAATAGAAAATCTGGAAATTATGCTCGAAATTAAATTATTGAGCAAGTTACCTCGCAAAACACCATGTTGCGGGTTATTAATAATCGCACATATAACCATCTCATAGACGCATCTTATGTGGTATACCTGGCAGGTGAATAGGCCCATATTCACCTTTGATATTTCCAGCATTCATGGGATTCAATCCCAATTTTAGTTGGTATATTAATTAATGAGAACAAGCAATGTAAGAGAATTCGTAAAGAACTTTCTAGTTCTTTAATATTTACCCATGTGAATTCTCTTTTATTTTGCACATCATACTTAAATTGATATGGTTAAACCAATTATGCCAACTGAATAAATTATCAACATTGATAAACTTCAGATTTACACCATGACCTGTGCAATTATCAATAAACTCCAAGTTTATTATGATATGAGTTTTTATATCAGTAAATATCCACTTTATTGTGGTATTCTTTTATTTGTGTAGTACAAACTGGAGAATAAAGCGGGTAGCTTTTCACATACATATTACCCAGCTACAAGTTGTAGTAATAGAAGATATTAAATCTTTCCTTTATTTATAGTCTCAATATAATCAACCGCTTTCGCATATACTTTGGAAACTAAATAAGTTTCTTTTAGACTTGCTACAACACAATACCTTATTGGTAATCAATTGTGTTTCTCCAAAATAGTAATAATTGGCTCTTCTAGAGCTCTCAATTAATTTTGTACTATCACAGATTCATCAACATCCATGTGGTGAATATCTCTTTTAAAGAGAAAGTTATACCATTATGGTTATGGTCAAAATTATATGCAAGATCTGTTTCTTGCATTACTGTTGTCTTTTAATAATCACAATGCCAAAATATTTTGGCGTATAATAGGTACGTGACCAATGACCATTCATGCCATAATAATGACATTATTTTCTTATATCATCTCAAACCTCATTCTAGAGGCGAGTGTGGTATATTCACTACCACTAGCACGTTCATATTCTTCCAAGAATGAATATGAATACATGTATTCATAAATCAGATGTTGTCACATTCACATCATGAATTGACCATAGTCATTTGTATGCGCTTTACGAAATCTTATGTCAAATCGAAGACAAACATTAACTTCATTACTACGATAATGACGATTATAATTTCGTCTATTGCCACGTCCACATCCATTGATATATTCATAGTAATAATTTTGTCTTCTTTCAGACTTATCACATATTGCTATCACATTCTCTTAAGGGAATGAGAATGGAGCAAATTCAATGGGACGGGTTTTCACTTCTTGTGCTCACGATCATACATGATTTTGATCATGGCAAGACATAGAAATTTTACCACTTCGGGTGGTTATATTTCTTACAAACTCCATTAGAGTTGTAATCAAAATTTATTGTCTTTGCTTGTATTTAAAATCAAATTATAGAATAAAAGAGAAAAATACGGTAAAATACTTACCTTAAATCCAGAATTTAAGCATGAAGGAAATTCATAGAACAATTGACAATCATTATGATCAATCTCAAAGCTTCTACTCAATTGGTTAGTGTCACGATCCAAACCCGCACTAGTCGTGATGGCACCTCTCGTGAAGACAAGGCCAGCCAATTAACCCAATTCGTCTCTTTCAAAATAATTTAACATAAATAAATAGCAAAACACGACTTAATGACATTAAGTAACGATATTTACAACCCAACACAGCCCGTCCGGGGTGTCACAAGTCACGAGCATCTAGAAGGATTTTGGTACAACTACAAAGCCTGTAATACCTAGAAATAAATCTGGAAATAAAAAGGAAGAAATCCGGTGCCGCGAACGCTGGCGGTCACCTTGCTCAGCTACGATAGTAAATCCTCAACCAGCTCAAACCCGCTACCGGGTAAACCAATACCTGCATCTGCACGCGAGGTGCAGGGAGTAAAGTGAGTACTCCAACTCAGTGAGTAATAAAGGTAAATAATAACTGAGCAGCAAGAAACCACGTAAAGCAAGCCATAATGCTATATAGAACAGTGTACCCCTTTGAGAAAACAGTGAAACCGTATAATCTTTAGAAATATTTGGGCTCAGTTTAAAAACCTCTT